CTCTTTGTTAGAAATGAAGAATTTAGTGAGATCTTTGCTCTAGTGATCGATTATTCTAGAAAACACTAGTCTAAAGGATATTTTTTGACTTTACATATTTTATATTAGTGTAATGAGATTTGAGAGCATATGTAAGTTTCACATTTCAGCCACATAGGGCTGCGCTGACAGGTTTTTTCTCCAGTTCTAACCACACGAGTGAGTTTTGAACCTTTAAACAGTACAACTACTTATTTATCGATTATCCGTTGATAATCAAAATAAGTCGCCTACGTATTTTTTTTGCAAGACTTAAACGTATTGCATAGGATTAATTGTCAGATTCTGCCTATTTTACTCGCACTGTAAAAAGTCAAATAAATCGATATTGCCGTAAAAAGAAAATAATCAAAACTCTCGTGTTTATTTTTTCATACTTTAATAATAATCCAAATGTTTCTGATACAGCTGGAACACCTTTCTGTCGAAGAATATTCAAATCAATACAATTCAGAGTAATATCAACAACCTATAAGCAAAACAAAAAAAAATAATTTGTGTTTATTCGTGTGTTCTACATTACTACTTCAAGAATTAAGTCTTCAATATCTTGTGGACATTTTTCAATAAGAATTTGAATAAGACGAAGTATTTCAGGTTTATGTTCATTTTTAACTGTTATTGATGTTGATGATGATGTTGTTCCAGATTGTACAAGAGCATGTTTTGCTATTTCACGGGCAAGTGTCGTTATAACTACACGTGAACGAGACGTTGCAATTAAATAAAGGGCTGTTTGCGCTGTTAAACAAGTATCAGTTTTTGGTGATAATATTTCACCATGTACCCTAGAACAAAGATTATTATTTTCAATACAAAGATAAAATAAAGATAACATTAAAAAAAACAATAGATGCATATGGTTTTAAGCAACAAAATCTCTAATGAAAAACAAAGCAAGTAATCTCAGCACCTTCAATATTAACACTACTTGCTCATATAAACATTAGATTACCTCAAATCATTGTTCTCGTTCAAAGATTCATTATCAGAAATTAAACAACTTACTTGCTTGTCATTGTTGAAGTATCACTAATAGAACATAAATCAAATAATGCTAGTAGTACTTGTCCAATATCTAAATAGGATTCCCATGTAGTATAACCACGACCGATAAGATCGATTGCTGTTCGACGTATAGCAGTGTGCACTGGAATGTGATCAAAATTAGATGGAGATAAAAGACTTGCTAGAATATGACCTAAAATCAGCAATAGTTACATTAATAAAGACTTTTATAACATATAATAGAGAATAACAGATAGATTTCGAAAAAGATCATTATAACCTATAGCATAATCATGCTTCTTCGTAATATCAATCTCTTATTTCTTGTATTATTGAGTACTAAAATACAACACGAGATTCCAATCCTATTTCTCATTAAAAAAAATGATTATCTACGTCGATCATTTTCTTTTGATATCTCTCATTTTCATCAACTTTTGTTTATCATATTTATTATAAAATTCCGATATAATATCATTTAGTATGTGAAGTTTTATAACAGTTCTTTGTTATTGCGTAGGGGGGAATTCGGTTTTTTTTTGTTGTCATTTTTCTTTCTTCAAGAAATTTCAAAAGAAAATCCTAATACAACTCATGAACGATATTCATATATACATATGTTTGGTTAAATAAAAAATAATTCTTCAAGAATTAATATTATATTCAAAATTCGACTAAAATATTCTATCATATTTTGAACAATCTCTTACTCAAATTTAAAATTATTTCTGGACTTTCAACTGAAAATCCTTTAATCGTAACTGATGATTGTTTTGCATGTTCAACTTCTTGTTCATATCGTGCACAGATAATACCCATAAAAACAATAGATAGTAATTGTTGTCTTTTATATTCTTCTTTCACTATTATTGTTGTTGTTGTGTCATTATTATCTTAAAGCAAGCAAAAAAATTAATTAATAAATATTTTTATTTTCAATATTTCTTACAAGCTGTATCATCAAGAAGTATATCTTGAATATTTGGATCATGTAAAGCTCCATCATTTTCTTTATTATATGACTGATGAAATAAATTCGACCATTTCGAAATCAGTATATACCATGCATCATTATCGTTATGTAAATGATCAAGTTCTTTTTCTAATAATTTTCTAGCAGCATCACGTAACTTTTTTGTTTTTTTGAAAAGAGAAAGAAAAAGAATAGAAATAAGATAAGTAAATTTATTTCTAAGTATACTTCTAAACATAAATCTTGCCAATGTGAACATAAAATTTCAATTGATAATGATTGAAAAATATTCGTTTGACATTGTCGAAGCATATCTGAACAATAAAATTCTAATAATTTACTCCAACTTTCTCGTTGTATTAACTAAAAATTATTTTCTATAGACAAAGACAAATTTATTAAAAATTATTTCTCTATTTACAAGTGCCTCTTTATCTTGATTATTTGATCTATATATAGAATAAATATATAGTAGTTAACAATATTTAATGAAAAAGTATGAACTTACATATTAGTTATCCAATGGTTACAATTCATTAAAGTACAGACCAATGTTATTGAACTTAATAAATGTTCGGTATTCAGAATTGTAGAATATTTCCATCGCCATTGATATACATAAGTGTCAATTCGTTCTTGTTTGCTAAAATGATTATAAACATAAATTTTAATCCCTATTTTTCAATAGATTTGTCTTGAGCATTAAAACAGATATACTTAGAATTCAAATTTAATGTTCAAAGTTATAGACTTTATTCGACTGATTTTCTCAATCAGAAAAATAATATTTCTCTCAAAATTGACTTATCTTGGAATAATCTCCTGATCAGCAGATACACGTTACTATCATTGTACCTAATTCTCCAACAATTTAATAAGGAAGTAGTTTATATATATTATGACAACATATTATGATTATCAAATCTATGATGTTTGTATGGTTTCAGCTATTACGGTCTGTTGGATAGATTGCAAATATTGATCCTTACATTTCAACATTCAATTTAAATCGTATTTCATTAAATAGTATCGATGTAACAATAATGGTACAGTTTGTATTTCGTGTTTTTTCTGGGCCATTTTTCATCATAAAAGTTTGTGCGTAGTCTCGAAAATATTTCCCTTTCAATTTTCTGCTAATTTGTATTAGAACATTTAATCTAAACTCTCAATTTAAGAAAGTTATCAAATAACATTTCGCTTCTCCAATACGTATAATTTTCTAGAGATTTTGTCTGAAAAAAAACTTGAATTTTAACTCAATTATTAGACAAATATAATGCATATCTTATCAGAGATTAACTTTTTGAAAAATGAGTAGAAATTTGTCAAAAGTTAGACTTATTTGGTTAATGTAATTCAAGTAGAGTTGTAGTCACAAAATAAACATTCGATATGACATATGAAGCGTTTTCTTATTTTCATCATAAAGAAAAAGTTGCTCTTTCTGTTAGTGTATTGTCAATAAATATTGCTTTTAACTTTGATCATTTGTTTTTGACTTATTGAGGTCTGTTCAAATTTTATTTTTGCAAACTTATAAAAGATTTGTTCATAATTCTCAATCTGTCTATCTCATAAATATTCTAAACATGTACAGGGTGGTAAATAATATTATTCCAGGGGGGTAACACTATGATCTCGAATCGGAGATATCATGAATTTTATACCAAATGAAAGCTCGTGAAAAATGGGGTTTAGTGATAGTAAATAGTAAGACTTTGAAGAACTTTCTTGTATTAATTTATCAAACGTTACGATTTTTATCGACATAAAATATTATAAAATCAGTTCATCGAAAAAGTTCGGGGCTAAACTATATGTTGTACAACTGTTTATTTTCTTATTATTTATTGAGTACAATCAATAATCAGTATGACGACCATTAGCACTCTTTACTGCACGAAGTCGATATGGATACGAACATAAAAGAGCTTCAAACAATTCGGTATTTTCTTCCATGTCCGTCAAAACATCCGCAATGTGCTTTTTAAGTGTGTCTTCACTATATCGATTATGTCCAGTTTCCGATAACATTTTTTGTTCAACTTCATCTTTCACTATTGATCCAATATGTTCCGCCGCATTGAGATCGGGCGAATTACCAGGCCAAATATCATTGCCCCAAAACTCGATTTTGTTATCTCTAATCAGATGTTGAGTCATGTTTGCTCGCATACACGGTGCTTTATCGTGAACAAATATCACATTATCCAGATCAATTACGTTTTCCTCGTCGGTGAGGAATGGAAATACGTGTTGCATTAAAATAATGTCACGAAAATATTGACCGGTCCAAGATTCACCTTTGTCTTTAATCACCCAATGCATTTTTTTCGCGGTGAAAATGATAAAAATACCGATACACGCTTGGTTTTTAACCATTTCGCGATACCTTTCATCGTCTTCAATATCTTCAACACTTTTTGCCCAAATCCTATCATTTTGATAATTTGGTTTGCGAACTGTCCAAACATAAAATTCATCTGATGGTGCCAGATGAAGAAAATCTTCTTCAGTCCAATCTTTCAACCAATCACAGAGCCATAATCGATCTGATATATGAGTTTCAGATTTTAACGGTCTTGAAATAACATGAAAAGGCTTTAATCCTTCCCTACGGCGGTAGTTATTAACTGTGTGTCGAGTAACATATTCTTTTTGTTTCTTTGCAATCTCTTTCGCCACGACAGAACCGCTTTTCCGTTGGTGACCACTTGCTTCACGAATAATGTCCTGAGCAGCTCTCGATAACTTGAGTTTAGGACCAGCATTCGAATAATCAGCAAAACATTGGTCACACGATTTTTCCCACCATTCTGTAACAAATCGAGTCGTACGGTGAATTTTGTCGGCAATCCATTGTCTATTTATAAATGTTGCACCAGCATCACGAGCTTCTCGGAAAGTAATGCATTTAATTCTATCAATCATTCTTTGTTGTTCGGTATCATAAGCGCCAGCCATTTGAAATAACAAACGAAAAAACACTGAGATTTCACTCGACTATAACTTTCAGACAGTCCGAGAACGAAAAAATTTTTCAAATAACTAGTATCACGTGGAGAGAAGAACAGAACGCCAAAGAACCATCTTATTGTGTGAGTCATAGTCATATATCATCATCGTTATCATTTCTCTTTCGTTTTCATAAAAAATGTTCGTTTTCAATGTCTCAAAATGTATGAAAAATGATTTTTAACGTGTTTTTGAAAGAAAATTTCGTTGTTTTTAAAAATTTGGTACACGAAAGTTCTTCAAAGTCTTACTATTTACTATCACTAAACCCCATTTTTCACGGGCTTTCATTTGGTATAAAATTCATGATATCTCCGATTCGAGATCATACTGTTACCCCCCTGGAATAATATTATTTACCACCCTGTAGTGGAGTTGTGAGCAAAATCCTAATTCCAACATAACGCTGTAAAGTTTCTACTGATCTCCATACTTGACTGACAAACGAATCAGTATGTTATCCAGAATTTATTTAAGAGTAGCTTTAAATGGCTTTTGCGTAGTTTTTATAAAACTTTTGTATTAGTTACTGATAGAAATATCAACAATATTGTGTTTAATAAAATGTTGTTATATTTTTTAGTAATATTTAGATGAGATTAATTGAAATACGTACTATTTTAATGTTTCATCATTATCTATTTGAGTTTCAGCAGATGGAATAAATGCAGCCAGATTCGGTAAAAATGTTTCAGATGCATAATCATTTAAATATTGTTGCCATGTGGGTAAAACAATAGCTAAATGTTCATTTTTACTTAATATACCATAAGATATAAATCGATAAACATGATTAAAACGAAGACGTTCTTGACCTATATGATCAATATTTTTATCAAAATACCATGGATGAATTAATGAAACTAGTAAATTTGATAAATTTATTAATGATGTTAATATTTGATCAGATTGTGAACGAGTAATTTTATTTGCTAATTCAATATGTTCTAATAAAAAGTAGAAGAAGATAAAGTATATTAAGAAGAAAACAACAAGATATATGAGCATTATGATTATTTAAGCGTGTTGTTTTCAAAATCGAACATACAATGATTTGACCTAGCGTAAGCAGATCAATAAATTTAAATAAATCTTAATTTAGTAGAGCAATCAATTAAATTATATATTAGAAATCACGTTAACTTACTAATTAATTGTAGTAAATCGAAAAAAATAAGTAAACCCAAATCATCACCTATATTTGTATGAAATTTTTGAATTACAATTGGTAAACGATATTGTGAACGTTTAAACGATGATATACCCATTAAATCATAACGTGGAGTACCTTTATGAAAAATATAATTTTTAGTTTGTTGATTTTACGAATGAAGCAATGCAAAACAGTAATAAAAAAAAAACAATTTGACTTTTGATTGAGACATCACTATATCAAATTAGATCCTGACGTTTAGAATTCAAACCCTTCATTTGTTGCTGCCAATATACAATTCTTTCTATATGATGTAAATGAATACCATGCTCTTCTTTGGACACACCAGAACAAAGAACGATGTTCGAATTTCGATTTAAGATTTTGCCCTGAGACATGCCCTAATGAGACTTTTCTATTCTGAAATACAACTATGTTAATAGCATGTTTTTTCTATGGAAAGTTTCTAAGCAAAATTTAATAATCAGTTATTTTTTGCCATTTAATGTTCTTGAAAGGGACCATGAAATTCATTTTAAAAATCTTGTTAGTGCAGCCTAAAATGTAGAATTCACGTACCGCCTTTATGTTAACTATAGTAACTCAAAAGACATTAGAACATCTCTAAAATAGGATAGCTCTTTTCGTATAATGATTCATCTTTGTTGTTAATCGCTCTTTATTGTTTATGCTCATAATTCTTTTGCACTGTTACTTCCCATAACCTTTTTTTTAAGCATTAAACTAAATGATAAATAATGCTGTTACAAATATCAATTATTTAATCCTGATTATCCGCATCTGTAAGGGTGATAGCTAAAAAACTTCGACTTAAAACTTGAACTCACCATTATTTTCTTCGAGAATATATCTGACTTTCACAAAATGCCTTCAAAATGCAGTATCTTCGAAGCAACATGCGTTACAGACACGAATTTTTCTCATAGTATTCATTTAATTCTACATCATATGCATAGATTCAACTCAAAAGATATATATTTATTATTTGGAAGACTTCACTCATGAGCTAATGAAAGAAGCAATCAAAAGATAGATTGGCCTTAAGAAGAATTATTAATATAAAGTTCTTTCAATAATTGGATTCTGAAATGAAAATCATCGATTCTAATGTGTATTTTCTTTTACTCTTGAATCTCAAAAAAGGATTTGTTTTTATACCGAATCTTCTAGTTAATTTTTTAATTTGATCATAATCTTTTTGTTTTCCAGTTGATCTTATTTGAATATAATATGAAGATACCATTGCTGTTGATAATGGATCATTTTGAAGATCAATATTTGCACTAAGTATTTTTGGATCATTATACCATTCAAATAATTCTTCAGCTAATATTCCATATTCAACACGATCAAGTTTTCCTGTTTCAATTTGCCAAATAAATAAACTACCATCGGAACATTTTATAAGTAAAAATTCATCATTTATTCTCCAACGAAGTCCAACAACAGGATATAATTGTCGATTAGCTAATAGAATTAATTTACGTTCTCGTAAACTTATTAATGAAACACTATGATCATTAGCTATTGCACATACACAATATTGTACTTTAATCTAAAATAAATTTGAAAGTCAAATTAATTGAAGAAAAAATGAATTAATATTTTCTTTTTTTACATTAAGCATAGGTGGTGGAACGTGAAGCATAAGAATTGAACCGAAATGTTCAGTAAACACATGCAACTGTGTGTTTGTTGATAAATCCCATAAACGTATTGAATGATCCAAACTACCGCTAACTAAATGTTGAATATCATAATGTGAATATTCACTATGTGGATGAACTAAACATGTTATTAGTTGTTTATGACCAACAAGTGTTTGAATATCTAAAGATATTATGTTGTATTTAGTTCTGATTAGAAACAAATGACAAAAAGAAAGCATGAAAATTCAATACCAAAATTTTCTTCATGTTGATCATTATTTAAAAAAAGACTCGAAATAAGTTTTAATGCTGGTATAATATAAATTTTCCCATTATCAGTACCAAATGCAAGACGATCCATGGTTATTAAGTGATATGATGCAGTTAATTTATTGATTTTATTTGGTAATATCTAAATGAATAGTTATATTTCAATAACAAAATTAATTGAATCAGATACTTTATTGAAAATTGTTCGTATTGTACGAATATTCGTTAATGCATGTGACCAAACATTTTGATAAGAAATTGAACTTATTGGAAGAAGATCTATTAGAAAAGAATAAACAACATTATTATGATATTGAGATAAAAGAATGATTCGATGTTACCAGTATTTGTTGAAAATTCTTTTAGATTTATATGCCAAACAGATATTTGACCAGAAGAATCAGCTCGATAAATTTGACAGTGGTTTAATATTGTATGACAAGAATAAATAGGTGTTCGAGCAAGTTGCTACAAATAATCAATTAATGTTTATTTCTAATTATTCAGAAAAAGCAAATCAGGACTGCTTCGAGTGAAGAGGAAAAACATTTTTAAAAAACAATTACTCGATCCGCTACCCCTCTATCATTGATTCCAGTTCAAATCTTGGTCAATGCGGTGCATCCTTGAAACTAATTCAGAGCTCTCTTTTGAATTTCATAGAAGAGAAAGTTTTTAAGATATTGGTAATATCGTGTGACATATACTTTCATGCATCACTGCTAAAGTATGTCAATCTGTGAAGAAACAAAGGCTATGGTTATTATTTTGTTTAGAATAAGAGAATTATATGCTTTTTCTTAATTTAAAGCACCATGTTTTGAACTTTTTGGATCAACACGTGACTAAAAGACATTATTCTCAACTATGATATCCTATATTGCATACGTTCTATTAGTGATTTTTTTTTGCATAGTATAAAAGTTGAAGCTATTCTGTAAAAACAAATGAGCTAAGAACTGAGAATCTTTCAGCATCAGTTAGAAACGTTGGAGTTCACTTTGTATGCTAGGAAATCAAGATATTGCGAATATGTCATTGTATCTCTTATCATTACTCTCATTGTTCATATACATTATATAAACAACTAATAATCAGGATTCATTAAATGTTGAAATTCATACAAACTGTAGTATCAGATTTTTTTAAAGTTTTTATTGATAGTATGGTATACTACTTTTCATCCTGACCAATAGCTATAGCAAATCTATACCCTCTACTGTGTCCTGTGATTTCAAAGAAACTTTTTTTTGCCAACTATTCCGAATAGTTTTATTTCAGTATCAAAAAAGCAATTCGTTATATAGATTTCTAATCCACTGAATTATATCGAATAAAAATTAGAAAATCTTACTAATTCATTTCCAACACTTAATCTACATAGCCATTGCGGTAATTGCATATCAGTTTTATTATGTAGTGAACGGTATTTTGGATTCAGAAATATTGCACTAGAAAAAAAATTTTTAAAGTAAAAATAGAAATACTTCAAAAATTTCAAGTAAATTACTTTTCTGGAAGACGAAATATATGTCCGTAACCTCGAGCAGAAAAGAGGATAACTAAACCTGATGTTGGGAAATATCCATTTATCCAATGTTCTTTTTTGACAATATCCTTTTCATTCGTTGTATATGAACATACTTCTGTAAAATCAATTCCATCAAATATCTAAAAACTAATTTATTATAGTTTACAACAAAAATCATCACTTACTTGCCAACCATGGCAATGAACAATAAGTATCATTCTTTGACATTCATCACAAGGTACAATAATTGAACCAAATGATGTTCGAATTTCTTTACTTTCATGTTCTTTAATATCAATTGGTAGAATATTATTATTATTATTTCCTATATTTGTACTTTCAATAACTGTCTGAAAAATATTTTTATGTTTCAAAAATTCAATTTATCAAAAACCAAATGTTTATTTTTACATTTGAAGTGGCTGTACGAGGATCAAATGTCCATGATTTAACACAACCACCATCAAGCAATCCAATAACCATGATATTTTCTATGAAAAATAAATAAATATTTATTTTATAATTATTTGAAATGAACCTGGAACATTTATTTTTTGGAAAACAAAAAATGTTGATATCCAATCTGCATTAACATTTGATGTTGTAAGAGTAAATTTAATTTCAAGTGTATACATATCATAGATAAGTATTTCTGAATAACAACCAGAACACATAAGGAAACTTTCATTTGTTAATTGATAATAGAAACACTACAAATTATGATAAAGAATATTCAAAAACACAAAAAAAAATAATTTCATTTACTTGCACACAGCGATGTTTAAGATTAGTTCCTATATGTTCAATACAACGACCATCTTCATTATTCCATAATTTAATTTCACTTCAAAAATTTCGAAAATAATGTTAGAGAATAAAATAAACTCATCATTACATACCCATCATTATCTGAAATACTAACAAAGTGTTCGAGTTTATGTATTGACATTGAAGCGACTATGAATGAAATTTGATCCGTATGACCAATTAACATTAACCTTGGAATAATCTAAACCAAAATAAAAAAAGAAATTTCCGGTTTACAGAAGACAAGTATAAAGAATTTTTATCTACTTTTTGATGATCAGGTACAATTTTCCAACAAACGATAAAACCATCATTGGTGCCCGTTATAAGATCATTACTTGCTAAATTTATAAATAATGACGATATTGATAATGATGGTGGATTTTCAGGCCATAATGCAAATGGTAATAGTATTCGAGAACTGCAAGTCATACTATCTAATCATACAGAGTTTCTATTAAGAAGAAAAATGTAAATTATCATTGCGAAGCAAAAAAAACTCATATGGGTTGAGATAAGCTACACACTTTGACATGCATACACTTTTTCGGTTGCGATAAGGCATCTAAAATTTCACGTACACAACTTTTTTCATCACATTAAAATGATATTCAGCCTCTGGCATATAAAAGAGAGTGTTCGATACGAGCATATCCAGTTCGATGATTTAGGAGCACAGAACTAACGAGAAACCACAAAACCACTCTTTTACGACCGAATTCCCTCAGTTCCTACATTGCTTTCTGCTGGATAATTATCGTACTGAAAGCTGAATATTTCGAACGATTTCTGCATGTGCAGATATTGGTGAGTGTGAGTGCGTTCACGTGTAGCATATGGTTGCGCGTGTATGGTTGTATTCATAAACAGAAAACAGAGAGGGTGCGGATGTTGATGTGGGTATGGATGTAGGTGTAGATGAACATAAGATCCACACCCACACTTTACAACCACAACCACAGCCACATCTACATTTCACACCCACACCCACATCCTAATATCATTCTGACTGATATCTGTGGAATCTCAGGTGATACTTTTAGCATCTCAGTTTTCGACTCTAGGATCTCAGATTAGAAACGTCTTCTTAAGATTCATCTTTATAATTCGGAATAAATTCTATGGTTTGCTTTCTTCTAGTTTGAGGTGGATGAGCCTTCGAATTTATAAATTATAATTTATAAAAAATTTAATCTTTTTTCTTTTCTGCTATTTTGACATGAAAGCCATTTTTTTCATTTATTTTCGAAGTAGTAATAAACAGTACGTTATCCATTCATATTCGAACTCGACTTAACCAACTCATATAATTATAACTACCAACTGTAGTTATAGCTTTCAACTTCTTAATTTTTTAACCGGATTCAATTGCGTTGAAATGATAGTCACTTGAATTTATTGACATACTCAATAAAATAGATGAAAATGCTAGTATTTGAAACGTACTTGTGCTTGCGAAAACCAATATTTCAAAATTCTTCTTTAAGTGTCTTTCAATATATTCATTTTCAATCTCAGTTTTCTTCCATTTATATATCAAGCTGCCATGAGGCAATCGATTCTCTGTTGTGTGATGTTAAAGGTTTTGTGAAACACGATCTCAAAGCAGTGTCGAAGTATAGGGGTAGAGACTTGAAATCGCTCTTCAATCGAGACTATGTGCATTATGTAGGCTCTAATGAGCTATGAACATCCTGAAAAGAGTTCATGCTTATAGGGTGAATCCGCCGGGTTTCTACCACTTTTGGGAAAATTTTTTTTTTCGCACTTTCGATATTCCAGTTAGACGGAGCATAGCTGAAAACGGTTAGAGGTAATAATTAAAAAGTTTTGGAAGGTCAAAGTACGGAGATCCAGGTTGCTTTTTCGGAACAACTCCTCACATATGGGAATTATTAGGACAGTATCCCAGAGTTTGCATTCACTTTTTCCAAATGAAGTCAAACTTTCTGAGCTTGTAGAGTTTGGGCATCTTAGAATAATCGTAAGTTCAAAAAAATTTTAAACTTTAGTAAGGGATCCAAAGGTGGGATAAGACTCGTATAGGAGTGTCACCGGTGTGCCAGGTCATACATAATTCCACTATTTGAAATGATTGAAATCTGAAAATTTTACCATAGATACTACTTATTGAGGTGATCATTTTTGGTAGCAAACGTTTTCTTTTCTGGTGTTCTATTTTTTGGGAAATCGCACAACAAAATGGTAATTTCTGACGTTTTTTGGGCAGAAGTATCTCAATGAAGCTTAAACGTACTTTTATTTGTCATTAGTGCTTTAGAACCGCCAAACTGTTCTCTATTCAACGTTGAAATCCACAGATCTGTAGCTTATTCTAGGACCGAATGGCAAAAAAAATCTTTCGGACCTAGTTTCAAAAATGTTCCAAATTTGTACCTTCGTCTCAGGCACAATTTTGAAAAACCAAAAACCTATCTTACAGTGGATTTTCATCAGTACACTTAGCTCTACCGTCCCTGAAATTTTCGTTTTTGATCAATGCTATTGGGCCCAGAAAACGGACAACTCGGTTGATATAAGTAATAGCAATTAAAGTGGTCGGCACAATAGTAATTATCTTGGTTTTTATGACAACATTTACTTTATAAAACGAATCTGTAGCGATCAGAAAGCGGAATCAAGAAAGTAGATGTTTGTAGGAAATTGACTGCAATGGTTCGGCGAAACTGCCGCTTGCGTTTTTATATCAGCATTAGAAAAACCTATCAGCGTACATATTCAAGAAAAATTCGGTTCAGAAGTAAAGTTTTCACGTTTTTGAGAAGCAGATGTACTACGACAAGAGATTGTGTTGCCAGATAAAACTTCGAAATCGTGCATGCAACGAATACCATGAATTGTGCCTGTCTCAAAAAAGAGCAGTAAGTTTCAATAAAAAAATTAAGAGGTTTGACGTACCTGTTGTTTTGAATTGCTTGAGCCTTTCATTTAAAACGTTCAGCTTAGTTCGTTGTATTTGCTTCTCTTCAAGGAAAAATATATCGATGGCTGGGGGATCCTTGCCAGCAGCTTTAGCTGTTTGCAATTGTTGGTTTTTGGAAAATGTGAAAAAGTCATACGGAGTTGATAGTAGAATATTTTTGGAAAGGGTGATTCGCCTCGCTGTTGATTTTAAAACAGCTCCAACGCCGTCACCGGCCCCCTTCCCGTGGCCAGTGGCGGTAAAAGCCCAAGAAGCGTCCAAATTGAAGTCATTCTTATGATGTACTAAGTTGAGCATATTAGCATTGTTTTTAAATTGAGAGCTACAACCATCACTTGAATAAAAATATAAAACTATTTGGTGCTATGGTCCATAATTAAATTCCACAAGAACACAGGGAGTCTAAGATTTGAAAGTTCCAAATAGTTTATAATATCTCAAATAATTTCGAATACTTCGAAGAGCGAACGAATTTCAAAGACATTATCGAGCTTCGCAAAATATGATGAGATTTTGAGACTTTCTAAGAACCATGGCACATACTATTTTGTCCTTAGTTAAGTCATTGGAAGAAAATAATCATGTAAGCCTAATTTAATCTAACTGTGATTAAGATGCGTCTAAATATAAAAGGTAAAAATACGTTTTCAATGTTTTTGCTTTCTTCAGATCCGTAAACCCAGTTTTATATAATGTTATTCTTTAACCTATGATTAACTTCATTTACCTGATGTAGATAATTCTTTTGAGAACAGGAAAGTTTTTCTTTACGTAATCAACAAGAATTTTTTGAGCACAGTAAACAAATGCGACATTATGCTCCATTGAATTACTGATTATTGCAATATCACGGTGTTCTTTTCCGATTGTTAAATGAATTGTAAAAAGAGAGACTTGATGTTGAGAAAAGAAGCCTTGTTGCACTTCTCGTTGACGAATTAGGGTGTAATTCATAGAGAAATCCATTTGAGCAACAATAAAAGTTGTTTTTGTTGATTGTGTACGAATTTCAGCTATATATTCACGTTGTCTTCGATTGCAAAATGTATGTAAAATAAATGAGGGCCATTCTGCTTCTATTTGAGCAAAGAGTGCTTCAACGGAACCCATGGTTTGTTGCAAGTCAAATTTGTTGTTCAGTTTTTTCCAAGTAGTCCAAGAACAATTTTCATCCATGTCAACGTTGATGTTTGCTGCCCATGTAAAAAAAAATTGGAAAAAATCAGATTTTAATGGATTAACATTCTGATTAATAATCACTTAAAATGGCATGATTTTAATCAGATTTTAATCTGATTATTAATCATAGAAATCATTTTTTCCGATTTTTCATAGCGTAATTGATTTTTATGATTAAAAATCGGATTAAAATCTGATTAAAATCGTGCCATTTTTATCGATTATTAATCAAAAAGAAATCGATTAAAATCGATTATTTTCCAAAAATTGTTTAAAATCAATTAAACTCAGGCTGTTCTCACCTCTTCGTATGGCCGCCTTTTAGTCAATTTTAATCTATTATTATTTCCTAATACATTTTAATCTACCCTTATGTATTTTTCGATTTTAGTCTGCCCTTATCTGTTTTTCGATTTTAATCTACTCGTACCTGTTTTCCGATTTCAATCTATCCTAAACTATTTTTCGATTTTATTCTTTACTTACTTGTTTTCCGATTTTAATCTGTACCTACCTGTTTTCCGATTTTAATCCACCCTTATATGTTTTCTGATTTTAATCTTTACTTAGTAGATAATCAATTTTAATCGTATCCCTCGAAAATAGGCACTTTTACCGAGATTCGAACGCGAAACCCTAGTTTTTCCATGATTTTTTTGAATTCTTCGTGACAAGAAATCCTTAGATTGTCATCAAGCTAGAGCTTCACATATATACTAAAATTGGAACTCCTATATAAATTGAATCAATTGAGATTGCGCAATTACATAAATAATCGATTAAAATCGATTAACATCCAGAATAATCGATTAAAATCGATTAACGTCCAGAATAATCGAATAGAACCTATATTAATCGATTAAAATCGATTAGATTTTTAATCTATTATTTAGAATTTTTTGAAAATAATCGGTTTTAATCAATAACCAACATTAATCGATTTTAATTGGTCAGATTTTTAATCGATTATTTAGGATTTTTTGAAAATAATCGATTTTAATCGATTCATCAAAGTAATCGATTAAAATCGACTAGATTTTTAATCAATTTTTTTGAATTTTCTAAGAATAATCGATTTTGATGGATTCTTCAAAGTAATCGATTTCAATCGATTAGATTCTTAATAGATTATTTAGGATTTTTTGAAAATAATCGATTTTAATCGATTCTTCAAAGTAATCGATTAAAATCGACTAGATTTTTAATCGACGTTTTTGAATTTTCTAAGAATAATCGATTTTAATCGATTCTTCAAAGTAATCGATTAAAATCAGTTCGATTTTCAATCGATTTTTTTGAATTTTCTAAG